ACATTGGTATTCTTTCGCGAAAATGTCACACGAAACAATTCGTCGAAGCCCAACCGGAAACTTTTGACTCGCCCCGCGGCTCAGTGTGTAGGTCAGGTATTTAATGCACTCCCGGCGATGATGCATATTATATACGACGATTTTTACCACACAGTAATACGTATTCGATAGGTCTGTGACATGCGATACAACGTAAGTACCATTGGAATCTCGGTTCGCGGACAATCGATCGGCAATCAATACACAGCCGTCGACGCGATGACGGCGGCGGCGTCGGTGACTCAGAAAACCTGTATGTCCATCGAGAGTAAAATTCTGGGAACCTTTCCTGTTTCCAAGGTAAAGTCTTTCAGTCCTATAATCGGTACGTACACATAATAATATATAGTAATATTATATAGACACCGTGTAGGTTAGGTATGTATTTTATCGTTACCTATTACTTATTATTATTTTTTCAACGCGAAACGATTTGCAATAAATATATATATATATATATACACCGATTTTTACGCGTCCGAACACTCCGGTGCGTTATCTACAGATAGCAGGTGCTGGTACATACTGAAACAACCACCCAATAGTTTTATACCCACCGAAAGTCGGTTGTACTAAATAATATTATACTATTACTGTTTATTATGTTACGCTGTCACAATGCGAGCCGGCTAGCCAACCTTCGACGGTTTAATTTCGTTTGGCTGCTGGTAAATTAATGGCCACACACACAACACCTCGAAATCGTGTGTAGATAAATATTACGAAGCAATATTACGATGCTGCAATGTCACGGTGTACGACGAAAAGTATTTATTATTTTGTTTGTACTTTCATAATGTGGTACGATAGTGGCAATAATATATTTCAATAAATATATCGGTTGCAATACGATACTACGCGAAAAGCGAGAAATCGATTATTTATAATATATAACAGCTACGGTTATTCTACAGGTGATTTGAATCATCAATTTTCTATTAATAGTTAAAATTTATAAATATTATGATATTATATCAACAATCGACAAATCCACCTCGCCTACATATTATATATCTCCATTCTCCATCTTATTTTCGTTACATTTTAATGTGATAACGTGCAGAACTACTTATTCTTTGACAATTTAATTAAAGTTGAATAAATTAAAAACATTTTAAGCTTTTTGAAATTAATTTTTAATAATACCCATAAATTATAAAATATTATGATTGTAATAACTATATAATATATAAGTATATAATTCTCGGTAGCTAAGACTAATCACCTTTATTTTTAAATTCTGAAAAACAAGTTTTTAAATACTGTTATAAATTTCTTGAAGGTTTCAAATAAAAGTTTTTTACTTTCCAAATAACCTTAATTCTTAAAACATAAACTTTAGTCCACATTACCATTAACGATCATTAACTGTTAACTTTAAACTTGAAGGATTTGACAAGCTTATTATAATGGAACAACAATGTTTCAAAACAAAAATGTAATATAACATGCTAAGATTTTAATCATTATTAGTTATTATTACCCTTAAGCGGATTCCAGCAGAGTCATTTACTCATATATCTTGCAAAACAAAATAAACACTATGTCCGAAAATGTTTTACAAGCGATTGTATAACTTCGACGGTTTTCATTATTTATCTTTGAAACAATTAAAAACTTTTAACGATACGTCAATTAAACGTAGAATTACTTTAATAGGCATTTACTTCTTTTTTTTTAAATTTGAGTAAAGATTTAATATTTTTGTACATATTTAATTTTTTTTTCTTATAATATTATTATCTTAATATAACCATTAGATTCTTTCGAGAATGAGACAACTTAATACTTTAACAGCATAAAAATCAAAAAATTTACATATTTCACTGAGGTATGATGAATTAGAGTGACTTTTATTCATATCACTATTAAATTTCAAAGCTAAGTAATATTTTAAAACAAAATAAGGCCCCTCTGTGAACACGATGAATAAATAGAGTACCTATACCTATATAATATTATACTATATGTACCCGTCAGAAATATAGTTTTAAAAAAATACTAACAGATTTTAAAGAATATATCAGTGACATTTCCGTTCCAGCTAATCATTACGAGTTTAAAATATTATAGTATATTTGATAAGGTATACTACGAGTATATGGCAAACATCATAGTAATCATTAAAAAAATACTTGAGTAGTTGTTTCATGCATAGGATTATCTTTAGTTATATTTAAAAAAAAATAAACTTGAGCTCTATTGACAACTGTTGCCAGGATTTTCATACTTTGATGTACACTAATATAATATTATATTACGCGTGTTCGAATCGTTCGGTGAAAAATGATTTATTACTATTATAACAATTGTAAGTAAATTACGAATAGAAAAATTGTGAAAGTGAAATCTAAAAAAATATTTTATTATACATAGATATCTATATAATATAAACTTATTCACCAAGCAAGCATTTTTTTTTTTTAATTTTCTAATACTAATCTGATTTTGGAACTCTTAAACATATACTAAAAAAATATATTTTTAAATTCTCAAGAATTTTTTTTATTAGGTACTTAAAGAATTTCGTGTGGTAATATAAACTTCTGTTTTATAAACTAAACGTGATATCAGTGATGTGTCAATCACGATAATATAATACAGACACGTAATTTCCATAAACGCATAGATCATACTACTAGTATGATACTATATAGTGTACCACCACCTACAAACCATCACAGCGTATTGTACGTCATTAATACTCACATTACAACCACAAACTATACCATCTGAGCAATACACGAATAAATTAAACAATAACATTTGCACATATACTTTAATAATCAAAAACATTATCACATAATATTGAAATTAATGAAAACTGTTTTTTATTGCATTTGTTAATTACTTAGGGTACTTGTTTTTCAACATGAAAATAATTTAATAACCTTTTAAACAACACTCAAATTTTTACAAGTAAAAAACCAAACGGTTTTATACATTGTTCAAACGGCGAATACTTATTTTAATGACGAAATCTATTTTTTGAACTACGGAAGATTCTTATTCCTGATACACGTGAAAGATTATGCAGATATTATTGCTCACGTAGACATACAGAAAAAAACCGATCAAAAAAAAATCAAGTGTCCGGTGCCAGCAATCGCATTACTAAGTGTCATAACTACACCATATCTAATATAATCATATCTAATAGAAATTCATGGGTGGACATTTATGTGTTACTTAAATAAAATATTATTTTCCATTAAAAAAAAATAATAATTAATATGGTTTAATAATTTGTAAGTACGTAACCAAAAATGATGATGAGTATCATAAAGGTATTAGTTCTTTAGAGCGCTTACCAATTGACATAATTAAAGATGTACCAATAAATTACATGCATGCTGTTTGTCTAGGGACAATGAAACATATCTGTTCTAGACAGCCATATCTGTGCACACTCTTCGTCAGTTCTTCCAATGTTTATACTCTATGTTTTTTCAGTGTTTAATTTTAAGTATTATAATATATATTTTTTCTTTACCAATTTAATATCAAAATGTTTAATTGCGAGAAATGTTCAGCGGCGTTTACACGAAAATATCAAAAGACACGTCCATCAAAAGAAGCATGATGGTGTGTGTTTTTCGTGCGCTAGTGCGCTGTATGTACAAAATCTTTCAGCGCTAAGCCGCTAAATCAAACCTGAATAGACATTTAAACATTTTCACACTATGTATTATTTAAATAATTTAAATGATTTTTAATTAATTTATTTATTTATTTATTTTCGTAATGAAATTGAAATATTTATTTTTTCAATTCGCGGTAATATAGAAATAGTCCCGCAAATATTTGTACCAGACATCCAACCAAGTCTATCAAATCAGTCTGTAATACCAAACAAACATTTTGAAGATAGATATGACGAAATTTGCGTGGAAATCTTAAAACATGTCGAGGATCCGGACTATGTGATCTGCCAAGTAAGATTTTATTTTTTATTTTATATATGTGTAATAGATATACGGCGTTAGATTTATTTATTTTTATTTTTAATTATATTTTTATATGACTACGGTAGGGGAAATGGCATGCACATAGAAAATACACCATCACGTATAAAAACAAAAAGGCTCGTATGGATATTGTTAATACACCGGGTTTCGCTAAGGTTAAATCCACGCATAGTCAAAAAATCGTTTGGTATTATGCTAAAAATCTTATTAATTTCGAAAATTATATTTCATTCTCTCTAATTTAAAATCTAAACTAGTTAAATTATTAATGATTTGTAGCTGTTAACCCAATACAATTTAATTTAAAGCTTGAAGCAACATGTAATCAATCCTATATATTTAATTCATCACAAAATAGGTCATTCAAAACATTGGCTAAGGAAATTTTCATAAATTCCGATATCAATTCATTAATAGATCAGGCGTATACAGTATTATTAAATGAAGAGGACATTTATGTTACAAACGGGAATGGGTATACATTAGAATTTATCGATAGGTTTTTATTAACAGTTTATAAGTATACGCCTATTGGGGACGCTCGTAACATCGGTCTACCCGTTATTCATTTTGATAACGAACCCGATGATGCAAATAATAGTGCGAATAATCAAAACAATTATACTGTTAACCCCTGTAGCTGGCTCGTCGTATATTCACTTCCTCCTTCTATTAAAAATAAATGGGCGACGATCAACTCGCAAAATAATGACCAATATTGTTTTAAATGGTCCATTTTGACGAAGCACGTAACAGGTTCGAATAAACATCGTGTCGGGGATAATTATTACAGTTTTGAAAATAAATATAATTTCTTCAGGTTATCATTTCCGACACCATGGTGTGAAATAAAAATTTTTGAAAAAAATAACCCAGCAGTATCTGAGATCACCTTTGTAACGATGTGCATGCGCATGTGTAGCTGCAGTCGACGCGCGTCATAATAATATAAGTTATAACCTTAACAGTTATTATTCAGCCATATAACAATATACGCGTATTTGTAACTAATACATCTCGCAATGTTACATAGCTTTTTAAAATTTATACCTAATGTTTGACTCCGCCGTGCGAGAGTGGAAAACAACGAAAAAAAACCCACCGTGATAAAATATCCAAATACCGCGCCACTAGTTTTTTTTTTTTTTTTAATACGCTGTAGTCCGTGCCGTTTCTCCGATGAGATAATAATTTTTGGTTCACACACAATATAGGAACGACGGCGGTGAATGTAATACGTAAGTGATTTTTTAAGTACATCCGATAGGACTTGTATATGTACGGATACGGTATCTTGTGTACACGGCCGCGCCCGTGTTTGTTTAATAATTTATTCCCTTGCGGAGAAAACGCAAAGATATATAAGTAAAGAGAGAGACAGACGCAGACACAGCCAGAGACTTATTATACCTCGATAAAAGTTATAAAACTATCGTGTATTGCACGTTATAGACGCGCGTGAACTTCATCGTACAATGTATTAAACCGTTTTCGTCGAGTCTACGCAAGCGAATAATATATCCGAATGGTAAACGAATATCATTTTGACCGAGGGCTGTCATCTATTGTACAAAAAAAAAGTCGACCGTACCTTCTTACGAATTCAACGAGATAAAATAAATGGTCTTCGTATATGATCATTTTGCACTTTCGAGATTTGCCGTCTTTAACTGTATCGATTGCGATGATATTGAATTATTTCAAATTTAATTTTACACCTTACACCCTTAGTCTTAACCCCAAGATCTATTTTACAATCGTTTGATAAAATATGACGAGTACCAAAAAATTCTCGGTATATACATTTTTGGCATTATAAAAGAATTCAAATAATAATCAATATCGTTTAAATTCATATAATTTACTATTTGATTTGGTATCGATATTTTCATTTCCAAGTACATACAATAATACAATATCTACCGATTTGAAACTTTTTAAAATTTTGTGGTCTTAGAAATCATTAATTACAATTAGGATATGATGTGGTATTATATAGATAAGAACTCCGGGAGTTTTTACAACAATTCTCGCGATTTTAAGTTGGAATCCAAGCACAACATATAGTAAGTAAAAATATCCACACGTAAGTTTAAACAAAAAAAATATATACTCATATGTGAATTTATACACGAATAAAAGTTTGAAATATTTAAGTTCCTAAACTGTTAAAATATTTTTACGAAAATTACGAAACTCTAACAAATTGATTTCTTACTTTGTTAAAATCTAGCTAGTCTGACATCATAATAAAATAAATGCAATTGGCGTGATTAATATAATATTATTTTGTTAAATTTTGTTTTTTATAAGAAAATATCAATTTAATTTGGGAACATTAAAATTTATGTATCTACCTTTTCCTTGCGTAATAACAACTGTTACTAAATTGTATAATTTGTATAGGAATACTTAATAAATCCCAATAACGCAGTGCGTCTACTGTCTATTACAGAACAATCGAAACAGAATATTGTTCTTTTAAAGAAAGATTTTTTCAACAAACAAACTTCTGGTGCTGAATAGAGAACCCTTTTATTTTTTAAGGGTCGGACTAATTTTTTATGTTGTTTTAGTGAAAAGTCAACTCATCACTGTAAGTCCACGCATATCGACGATCGAAACTTTCTCGTTATTATCATCCTACACGTGTATTATAGCTATAAGTAATATTATTTTGTGTTATACTTACGCTATATGTACTTATATATTTCATTCTGCGGTCCAAACCAATGTTATCGGAACCAATAATGAACGATGTCCTTCGCTCGAATGTGTATAATAAAGTTGTTGTACACCATAAAATGTATTATTATTTATAAGATGATTCTTTCGACATTAAACGTCCATTTTATCGGTTAATCTATACGTTTTAAGACATTTTTTTTTAATTTAAAATAAAAATATACAAAATTTTTCGGAAGAAAAAACATATTATTTTTCTATGATATCGCTTTTTTTTTTGTAAATGAAAACATTCTCATTTAGTTTTATACTACGAAAGTGAATATATTTTTAAGAACTTCAATGTATAAATATCATTTTTTGAAACAATAATTATTCAGTAATGATCATATTATGTTTAGACAACAGTTGAATCAATTCTCCAGCAATTTGCGATCCATTTCACTCGTCGCTCGGCTAAAGTTATAAATTATAATGCTTCCACTGTCCATAATAATTATAATTACTGTCATTCAATTGTGTGTAATAGGTAATGTGTTGGGTTCAAGAAAAATAGAAAATATTTTCAAAAACACAAATTTATTTTCTTACAATTAACATTGTATAAAGTTATTGTTAAGCTCGAAATATTACAACAATGACGATGCTCTGCCATTGAAATTACGATGGGACTAGTGAAATCACATCACACGCATATTCGTAAATTATAATGTGTGTGTGTGTGTGTAAATGTAGTTGAGATTCATAAAATATAATATCAGTCAAGGCCACCATAACCGTTGAGGTGTTTAGAAGTCATAATTATAAAAAAAATTCTATTTAAGTACCTATATATACAAATTATAATTTGCTTATATTATACCTATAATAATATTAAATCTTCGTATAGTATTACTGCAGCCATATTATAGTATTTCAAAAGTAATAATTTTACTAAAGTGTTTTAAACGTTGTATTCTATCCCTCGATGCACGTATATAGGTATCGGTTCTGTGTTATGATTGGCGGGAGGGGGGTAGAAGTTGCCCCAGGCCGCTATTTTTGGCGTTGCCAAAATGTTTTCAAGGCAATATGATAGTATAATTTGTCTTATAAAACCATAAGAAAACAGGATTTCTCATAAAAAGTTTACAACTAAAATAATTATATTTTATGGGCTATAAGCAAATAAATTCGTAAAAGCGCGGCTTGATTGTAATTTCGCTTAATATTTTTTTTCATTTAATTTGCGATAAGTAAATTGTACAGGTACGACGAGCATATTTGCTAACGCGGCACTGCTGCAGGACGTACGAAACGCTGATGATTAATTCTTGGATATAAAATGTTTTAGATATCGATATAAACATTAATAATAATAATAATAACGTATTAAAATCATTTCTGCAGTAGATAATCGCGCGCAGCTGACGTTATGAGGACGAACATAACAAATATAAATACAAAAAATAACCATATTATGACTATTAAAGATATAAAATAATAATTACCATAATAAGAAACGCCTTAGATCATTATAATATTATCTCCAAACCAACGTGGGTAGACATGATTTCTGTGGACAACTGTTGCAGCAGAAGTGCCGCAAAAGTCAATAGCAATTTACATAAATCATATAAACTTATACCATATGTTTGGGCAAGATATTTGAAAAAAAAGTATTTGAATATAAGATTATACTAAATATGACACTCTAATTTTTTCTTCTAGATACATTCAACATAATATCCTAAACATACATACAAACTAGATACTAAATACATTTTATTAGATAATGATTAAACCAAGCACGAGCGTATACATAACACTGACTTATTACTTATATTCGTGAAAAAATACATCATCATTATTTTATTATACAAAATATCATAAGCTATATTATTAATATTTAATATAATCTATAAATATAAACACGGATAGGATATTCATTGTATTCAATAGATATCGAAAAACATACTATAATTTCCAAAGCGGTTACATACAATAAGGTTATGATATCCCCACCAATTATAATATTACTATTACAATAATAATTAAAAAATGAATGATACTGAAATTTATTTAATTATACTGAATTGTTTTCTTTATCTTAATCCACGTTAATCACAACCGTATCCATGACAGCATATTATAACCATTATGATTAACTAAAATAACTATAGAAAACTCTTCGATCACAATATTCCGAGTATATTGAGTACATAGATCTGTCTTACCCGTGTATATATTTTATCTATAGTTAGGGTGCAATTTCACATCAAATCACGGACTAACATTAACATGTAGGTATATATATATATATATAATATTCTGTTATTCACATATGAATGTGATGCATATATTATATGTAAGTACCTATATAGTGTATATTATATTGATGTCTACTAAATATACTGTCGCCCAGTCTAATGACACGCCGTCGCGTTTATATGATTCCTCGATCGGTAAATTATTAGAGAGACAATAATATGGTTAACGAAGAAAAAACACTTCAAAGCGATTCACCGCGTTAATTCGATTAATCGTATAATATATTATTATTATTATTATTATTATAGTTTGACCGCGAGAAATCGGATACCTTTCTATGCGTCTTAAATATCATACGTATGTATAATGTGTATGGTTAATACGCGCATGGATTATTCCCCATTTACAAGCCCAAGTGAATTTCATTGTTCTCCCGCACTATATAATGATAAAATACTGTGCGTATAGTTTTATCATAAACAAACTATAGTTAAGCCTTAATTAATTTGAAACACATTAAAATAATTGTTTCAGTTCTTTTCAATTAAATATTACCAAAAAAAAAAAAAAACCAGTGGAATTATAGAGAACCTCAAAGTGCTTATTATGTAAGTATGTTTATTACGAGTGCGTGTTCCATTAAATAATTCAAAACCTTATGATTATTGCCACTATAGCATTGCCTTGTGTTTTGTACCAATGTAATAAATATGGTGCGTTAAATATGTATACACACACACACAAGTATATAACGATTTAAAACGCTAATGTTTCAGAATAATCTACTGTGAAGATTTACGATGTACAAAAAGCGAATTCCTATCAGTGTATTATAATATAAATGAAATACTACGACGGCGACGAGGAACGGGTCGGTCCCGAGTCCAAGGTTGTATGATATAATATTCATTATTATATGCGCGTCTAATTTAAGTTCAATGATATAATAATATCACTATAACGACGGAGAAAAGTTTCATCGGCGAATTTTATACGACCATATTACTTATACACCCCACACCCGCACTCGAACAACAAAAAAGCCACTTTGTTAAGCGAACCTGTGACGATGTCTCTACGTGGTTTGTTATAATATTGAATATTTCAAAATTATATCATACTACTATGCTTATGTGTCGTTGACATTATAATAATATTAGATACTACAATCATATTGTTCTCGTAAAAAACTATATCGAAGGACTGTTATAACAGATACTACGCTATATATATTATAGTTACTACCTAGTGTGTATAACCAACGATGAGTTAAAACTTAAAACATAATCTATCCATTAAATATTTTTATTTTAATTGCGTGTCCTACTTAAACGTCATTATTAAAATAAAATTTAAAGTTGTCGGTGAAACCACACGCGCATGTTTTAATTTTAGCGTTATAATAATATTATCGTGCACGCAATACATAAGTCACATAATAAAACTAATGACATTCAGACAGGTCACCGAGTATTGCAACTTTATGTACTCTGAAAAGGGGTTGGTTTAAATAACTGGTACCACAAGAAATATTTAATAAACTAGATATGATCATTAATTGGTATGGACCAAAATTATTTACTGATCTATTAAAATATTTAATCACCAAGATACTAAGACCTACGTCATTATAAAATATATTAACATTTTATCAAAAATATTTCAAATAAATATTTTATGAGCATAATATTGCTTTATAAGTGGAACGAGATCATTTCTTCTGTAGGTACATATTGTAAAAATTATGGGCGGGTATATACTTTTATTGACTGCGTGAGCTCTGAAAATTTCACTGTTTATTACTTTGAATACAATATGTGTAGAAAACACGCGAGTAAAATATAATATTATGCAATTTTTTAAGAAAACTATTTTATTTAAATTATTTATGATTTTTAAAAATAGTAGAAAATTAATAAAAAATACGTTCCCAAATAATAATAATAAACGAGTTATTTAAAAAAAAAAAAAAAAACATTAATCAATGTATTATAATTTATAAATACCTACTAATAATGCACAGAAAATGTGAATCCTCTGGTAGTAAACAAGAACAATTTAAATGAAACGATAAATGATTTTTTTTTTGAAAGAAAACTGTTTGAATGTCAATAACTGTAGTTATTATAATAACTACATATATCAACTATATAGTAACTATATTTTTTTGTTATAGCAGCGCACTGGACGCATGCCGGAACAATACAACAACAAAAAGACGTTTTGTTATTTGTCTATGACGTCTATTCACGTAAAGTTTATTTCAAACTGTCTACGTGTATTACTCGAATAGTTGAATATATCGATTCAAGATAGAACGTAATGCGTACAATAGATCACTTCTATGCGGCGGATAACCTTAAAGAGAGGCCTATAACTGAAAAATGGGTAGCTGTATTATAATAGTGTTGTGTATCGCTTGTAGTCACATAATAACCAAATATTTATAGTACAATATCATATTATTATTATTACAACGTACGGTTTGCCTACAGACATGCATACTTTAGCTACAGCCATCAATGTACGTCATTGTGTGTTCAAACAAAGTTTACGTTTGCACGAATTATTTTTGGAAATTAACTTACCTACCGTACTATGATATTGAAACACTGACGGCTGTGCGACTTGATCACTAACTTTGCAGTGACAGTTGATTCTTCTCTTGAACAGTACCCACATTGACGTGGGTATCACACAAAAATTATTATTATTGTTTGTGCATACAGTATGTACTTCAAAATCCCGCGTCGCGCATCATACAGAGGTACCTCTACGTTATTATACTTATATATTGGTATAAATCGAATTCCAAGTGCACGCCGATGAGTGTGTATAATATTATGATATTAAAATAATATCGTAGTTTATTTTACCGCTGAAATACCGTTTGAAGACACTCGACCGCACGCGTCTGCCGTACTTACGTCTTATGCGGATAACAACTCTTTTAGAGATGTGCTCGGGGAGACAACCTTTATAATATAAATATTATAGTAGCTGGAGTGGGCGCGGAACTCTTTTGTGAAGACGTATTTGTGTTCATATCATTGTACGTACAGTTTATAAAATAAGCTTATGGTTTAAATTATTCTAATTGTCAGAAGTCGACTTTACTTCATTTCAGATCATGGATTCGTCTACATAGGCATATTTTGGAAATACCTACGCGGGTTTCCAATATTATACTAATTAAAATTTAATTAGTATATTTTATTCATATTTTTTCACTGTCAAACTTGTTTATCGTATTTCTTTAGATAAGCAATGCTTATATAACTGTACATTTTACCGAGACAAAAAAAAATAATAATAAAAAAATAAGTAACTGAATAAGTTATACCAAATAAGTTTCTAAAATATAGTGTCTATCTTTTTGTATTGCCGTCAACCCGAATATTATATAATATTTTATAACTATAGAATCGATGGATGGCTATATATAAATTGATTATATAATATATATATAGTAAGCGTTTACAATTTACATATATATTTTATTCATGATAATATGAACGTTTAAAAATAATTGAATACAAAAATAACATTTATACGTTTCAAAAAATTTAGAACGATATCGATAATCACAATATTATGAATAAAAAAATTTTCATTTTCAGCCGTTTCATTGCACATGACATTTTTACATTTGCTTAAAATGCTCTGTGGTAGTGATTGTTTTATTAATACCTTTTATTTGTTAGCGTTAGCTTAAAATTTATATGATATTTTTAAATGTATCGAAAATTTTGTCCAATGAACCGAAATGTTTTCCCATTGGTTCGTATTATACCTACTCCATTAAGTTCAAATAAACGATGATGAGTTGATAAATCCGAACGAATTTGCTATCAAATCGAGAAGGATATCAAAATATGTTTTTCAACTTTTAATAAGAACATTAAATATATAACTTTTTAGACTTTTTTTATTATTGGTATGAATCCATAAATCGATTGTGGAGTATCCATTCTCTTAATAATAAACGGTTCATACTACGAGTAATTTTTAACGATATCAATACATTATTGTAATGTTTCTATCATCTAACAATAATGTGTATTTTAATATTTTAATATGTTTAATGACCGGGGACCATGTTTTTTACAGCGATATTGATGCGTCTACGACATTCTGATAATAATATTATATACAGGGGTTTTTATTGTTATTTGTTTTGCTAAATAATAATATTCAACTTGATGATAACGAAATTCTTATCACCGATTTGAAAAAAAATTCTCAATTATTTTGTTTTATCGTTTTAATTGTACATATTATACATATATATATAAATAATATACAATAGGTTTTACAGAATAAAAATCGTTTCTAGTTAAAATATTCAGAAAAATACTATATCAATCAATTATACTAAATAATTATAATAATAAAATTATTAATTGTTCACGCCACTACCGCGTATACACAAATTCCATTCAGTCGACACCACAGTTCTCGCGGAAACGAAAGAATAGCTAACTACTTAGCATATTGGATATACATATATTTATGTACGGTCATTAAACATTTTTATAAGAATACTGTAGTTATATATTTTAAACGATCATGATTATCGATAATTGTTGAATATTAGTTTGGAATATCTATTTCACGATGGCTTTTAAATCTATGTGAAAAATAAAATAAAATGTTAATACTGATAAACGTTTGTGCTAAGATATACAGTCATCGGTTTGATACTCCAACCTATTTGTTAATTATTTTAAATTCAAAATCCATTTGAATCTAATTTCGATACTATTACGAATCCGGCAAAACTATTCCATTGGAGAATGCATTCTCTGTTAAGACACCGACGTTTCTATATAATTACCTATACAAAATATGTATGATATTATTCTAAAACAGAAAATCTACAAAACTGTCTAAACTAAACTATTCATAGAATTTATTCTTTCAGGAGTAAGTTCAATACTTTGATATAATCTCAGCACGATGTTTTAAACGAAAAATGAATTTTCATATAAATGCAGTGACAAAAACGTTTGCACATAGAAGTGGTATTTTAATTCAGTACAAAAAGTAAAATCGAATACTTCGATATAGTCATCAATATTGCACCGTAATTAGATTATTCGTACAAAAAAGCAATTTTTTAATATTTGTTCGTAAACAATAATATATGATGTATATTATACCGTGACAACACAATATTATAAAATACCTAATAAGTCACGGTGCACAAATATGATATATATGATATAATTGTGGTCAACACCCATCAACATCTACCACGATCGATTGAACGAAAACTATGTTTCAGTAAAATTATTTATCCAAATGTCGATTATTTTTTATTATTATTGTATCGTCTAATTTTGTCTAGACACGTAAACAAAAGATTAACCTGACTGACCGTCGTTTAAGTAAATAACCGTAATAAATGCATAATATCATGAAAATAATATGTATGCATCATGTTAGTAAAAAAAAAAGACGGAGGGTATTGCGTTATAATATTATTACGAACTATTGCGCGGGAAAATATTAACACGTGAGCTACAGCGTCATTGAGTTCAAAAGGCGGGCAGAAGGGAGCAGATTCCCGCCAAAATTTCGCGGTCGGCATCGCGACCTACCATTCGTTTATTTAAATCGTCAGCGGTCATGGCGTCGCACGATATTATATATAATACAGCGATGTTATACAGAGCGATTCATCGAACATACTACCCGCATTTTTCTTTAATAATGGCAGTTTTCAAAATTTGATAACTAAAGTTTTATGAGAATTTTTCTACTGCTTAAAAAGTAAAAAGTGACTTGTGAAGATACAAACTTTTATTTTTTTATTCAAACGAATTTTGAAATTGATTTATCTAATTCAATGTACTAAAGATAATAATCATAGAATAGTTTAAAAAGTATGGGGATTATGGTGAGTTGAAAATGTAACAATCAATATTAATCTATCTAAATATTTAATTTGTAAAATTAGTCAAAGTATAATTAACACTAAATCCAATATTACATATATTATATTTTATAATAAAATACTATTGTTAAGAAATCGGTTTAAACATTTTAATTACCAAGATACAACTATTTTTTTTTTTTATATATATATATATATATATAAGCAACTGATATTAGAATTATATTTTGAAGAAATTTATCGAAAATTTGCAAATATTTTATAGTCAAAATTTTTTTAAGAAAAAAGTATGATTTTTATAACTAAGTTGTGAATATTTAATACCTGCAGTTAGTTATGACTTTATATAAACTAAACAATATACAAAAACAATTCTTTTTTTATATACGTTTGTAGTTCAAATTTAGACAAAATTATATATTATTTTAACGAATAATAATGATATTAATTATTTTGTTATAATTCAAAAATATTATTAGCGGGGACTTTTACGTTTAATATGAATTTTTTTACACGCAATATTGAAAAAAAAAATAATATGATGATGATTAATTTTAGTCTATTACCTAACCACGATCCTATATTCATACTATTATACGTTAAAGCGTGGTATTTAATCATAAGTTAATGATATAATATGGGACAAAATATAATAAATACAATTATACAATAATTAAATATGAGTATTAATAAAATATTATAGTAAATATAAAATTTTCGGTAACAATTAAATCAATTTCACAATACTAATAGTGAAATTAATTATTTTTATAACACTATCGAAACACAAATCATGAAATGTAAGTACTTACAGAGACAATCTCTCAGCCTCAGCCTAAGCTTCTGCTCAAAATTGTTTTTCATGTATAATAAGCATTTATTAACATTGAATTCAAATTTATCACGTCTATTACAGTGACCCACGCGAAAACCACACTTGTACGCAAAGCCTTACCTAGTTATTTTAATACTGCGGATTAGTATAAAATATGAATTTATTTTGAATAAAACCATAATAAATCTTAATACAAATAATCATAAATATGTTTTGATAGCTAACAAAAAAACGGTCAGACTGCATAATGGGTTATAAAATGTTTTAAACTCATGTTATAAATCTAAAATTATTATGCGTTATTTAGAACCTATACGGTAATCTCAGATACACTTAACTAGTTGACACTAAATTTTACTTAAATATTCTTTGAAATTTGGGGAGTGTTGTAGCTTTATTTTTCAAACTTATAGAACAACTCGCTCGAAAATTTTGTTTTTACTCTCGAAAAATGAATACTTTTTGTTAATATAATATTTAATTGCTATGAACTACAAAAAAAAAGAACTTTTAACCTATATATAAATTAAGATAAATGTTTATTTGCATCGTGTATAGTCAAAAGCTATATGATTGATTTTTTCAAACATTTCAGATGTCATGTCATCCTTAGAGATAACAAGAAAATATAAAACGTAGTTTTAATTACGTCGGAGAATATATAAAGTGCTATATCACCTATGTCCAATCCACCACAGACAATTTTTTCCTTTTGATCAAATTAGCTTGGAAAAGCATAATATACCGATACCGATTTGACAGCAAACTTAGGTCACTACAC